GATACACAAATAGCTGTCAAAAGAAACCAAGTTCCCTTCACAGATTACCTTAATGTAATTGAAGAAGTTAAGTTTAGAGCGTCTAATATTTTTAATGGAAATAAAATTCACAAAAAAGATTCAATGAAATATATCAAGAATCTTTTAAAGAATGATTTTTATTATAAAATAACAGAAGTTGAAATTCAAAAGACTTTCAAGGAATTTTTGAATTCTAAAGGAGAAGAACCCAACCAAATTTTGTGTGAAACATGTGAAAATGACAATTACGAATCTTGTAGTCACAAACACAAAGAAATAAATTTTCTAGAAGTAGTCGGATTTTTTCAATTTTCAAAAAAATATTGTGATCGTGATCATGATCATTATTTTATAGTTAGTAATTTCATTCAAAATAAATGGGTTTCTAGAATATTAGAAGAATATCATATATTACAAAACATTATGACAAAGTGAGAAACATTTTATTGATAAATTAGAAAATAGTTTATAGATTTTTTAAGATTTTTTTTATATCTAGTATTTCTGTCTTTGATAATTTGGTTTATCGATTATTTGTCAAATAAACATATATTACTTCTCTAGCTTAGGCTGCTTGCAATAGATTTTTTAGTTAATATCACTTATAGATTTTTTGGAGAAGGGAGAAAATGAAATGAATAAATAAAATGAATAACTTATTTTGGAGTAATAAATCTATTATGACAAATTAATTTTTAGTTCAAAAGCTGTCAAACTGTGTATTGGCAGTGGTGTAGTATTCAAATTAGTTTGTTACAGAATCTGAATAGTTTTTTTATATGTAGTGTTGATGGCATTTTAGTTTAATCTAAAATAAAATTATAATTTTAGAGTAGGTTTTATTTCTACTGCTCTCACGAATTCTTTGAACATATACAACAGATTACCACAGCATTACTTGGTTGATCTTGCCTTTTATAACGAACAAGTGTAAAATACATAGGGTGGCATCTAGTGTCCAGATTATGCGGTTTCAATTCACTTTAAATTTCGAGACCGGAATTCCATATATATATATATATATATATTTTTTTTTTAACGTCTACCCTCTTGGGAGCTAGGATCTTTATTCAAGTATATATAGCAAAGGG